CTAAATATATACATTTTCCACATACATCTACCTCGAAACATTTTTCTATAGATATTCATTGAAAACGAAAATACAGAAAAATATAAATTTAGCACTTTTCCATTACGGTCCATTTTAGAAAAATCATATATAAACAAAAATTATAGAAATCGATATCGCAAACAACTTTTAGTTCCAACAATTTTCATAAAAATCAGAATTTTGCACATTTTGTCAAATTTCTCGAATACGGATCATTTCAGGAAATTTTGACATAGAACAAAAATTATAGATAATAATATTAGAAGTAACTTTTATTTGAACAATTTTCTTCTCCAAACATAAATAACAGATATATTCCATAAAATATAAAAACGGCCTCCCATAAAGTACCCCCCCAGATGTTCCGACTTTGTCCAAAATCTAATCATTTCACGTCAGGCCTAAATAAACCTTAAGTTTAAAATTTAATGTTTTTTCCTTTATCCGTTTTTGAGTTTTCTTCAAATTTCGAAATTTACACATTTTCTCAAATATCTCGAATACGGTCCATTTTAGAGAAATTATGTATAGGACAAAAATTATAGAAAATTATATTACAAACAACTTTTATTTGAACAATTTTTATAAAAAATTATTTTTTTATATTTTCTCAAATTTCTCGAATACGGACCATTTTAGGAAAATTTTGCATAAAACAAAAATTATAGATAATTATATTAGAAGTAACTTTTATTTGAGGAATTTTCTTCTCCAAACGTAAATAACAGATATATTCCATAAAATATAAAAATGACCACCTATAAAGTACTCCCCCAGATGTTCCGACTCTGCCCAAAATCTAATCAGCTCATTGGACGCTGAAACAAAGCATAAATTTAAAATTTGGTGTTTTTTTGTGTATCGGTTCATGAGTTATGCGTTATACAGACACACACACACACAGACACACACACACACACACACACACACACACACACACACACACACACACACACACACACACACACACACACACACACACACACACACACACACACACACACACACACACACACACACACACACACACACACACACACACACACACACACACACACACACACACACACACACACACACACACACACACACACACACACACACACACACACACACACACACACACACACACACACACACACACACACACACACACACACACACACACACACACACACACACACACACACACACACACACACACACACACACACACACACACACACACACACACACACACACACACACACACACACACACACACACACACACACACACACACACACACACACACACACACACACACACACACACACACACACACACACACACACACACACACACACACACACACACACACACACACACACACACACACACACACACACACACACACACACACACACACACACACACACACACACACACACACACACACACACACACACACACACACACACACACACACACACACACACACACACACACACACACACACACACACACACACACACACACACACACACACACACACACACACACACACACACACACACACACACACACACACACACACACACACACACACACACACACACACACACACACACACACACACACACACACACACACACACACACACACACACACACACACACACACACACACACACACACACACACACACACACACACACACACACACACACACACACACACACACACACACACACACACACACACACACACACACACACACACACACACACACACACACACACACACACACACACACACACACACACACACACACACACACACACACACACACACACACACACACACACACACACACACACACACACACACACACACACACACACACACACACACACACACACACACACACACACACACACACACACACACACACACACACACACACACACAGACAGACATCATCGCGAAAATAGTCAAAACGGATTCAGGGGACCTCAAAACGTAAAAATCCGTCGAAAACTCGAGGTCGAAAAAAATCATGATTCCTATACTTTCCTTATATCTGTATACAGATAGGAAAGTAATTATATCTGTATACAGATAGGAAAGTAAAAATGTTGGCTTTCTTTTAACTGAAGTTTTATTTGAAAAAGATGGTTTAATCAAAACATCACTAATTAGATTTATTTTTGCAAGTAAATTTGATGGAGGCATTTTAAGTTAATGACATTCTTATAACCTCTGTATTTATACAGCTATAAATTACTTAAATCTAAAATAATTAAAAATTATTAACTTTTACTCACCTACATTTTCCAGAAAAATATCTGTCATGTTTTAGTACAACCACAGAATAACCACTATTACAGAAATGAAGGCTTGCGTCGGCACGTTTGATGTCGGGGTGGCCAAAATTTAAAGTGACACTCGCTGACAGTTGACGTTCTTGCCGGTTGTTACACTGGTAAAAATTACCAAGATTCTTATAAATTCGGATAATACACTGAGAAAAGGATTTAAATATATGTAACAAACTTATTTAGCAACATCCACTATTTCTTCTCTGAATTGAAGGTTAGTGATATAATTAGAAAAAATAAGGCTTCACGATAATTTATTTTGAAGTAAATTGTACTGATCGCTATATTAAAAAAGAGTTTTTACTTGAGGAACCAGACCGAATGCTCGTTGTACTTAATTCATCAGTTTTTTTTAGATAACATTAACTCTTTAACAGAAGGATTCTATTACAAATTATTGATGTATTAATTAATTGTATACTTTCCTGAAAAACACCTTCAACTGTGATAGTTGGATCTAGAAAAATAGATTAAACTAATAATAACTGGCATTAAAAATGCAAATACTTCCGAACTGTCATTTTGAAAGCCTTTTATGTGTTTTAGAACCTTATCATATGTCAATAATACCATAAACAATCCTTGTATTAAGACTTTCGCCATACTCTTATAATAATTTGACAACTCGGTGGATAAATCTGTGATTTTTACAATTCCATTTTTGTAAACAAAATTAATCTAGTAGTCGTTGGTAGAAAAGCATCACCAATAATTGGCGTATCGATTTATTACACTGTTTTACACTAGCACAAATGGCTTTTCTTTCGAGTCTTTTGTGCAGAGTTGTCCAGTAATTGCAGCACTTCATTAACGTGGGAGTGGAGTCGACCCTCATGTTTTGCAGTAACCTCTTTTTCTTATTTGTCTGTATGAAGATAATCGTTTAGATAGAGCCAGGGTACATCAATGATACATCTTAGGACTTTATTTTGGAAAACTTATATTATGGCACATCCTCGTAGCTGTATTTCATAAATCCAGACGACTTAGGATTTGTTTATAAATCATATGAATTTGTTGTATACATAAATTTGCATTTTTAGATGCATAATTATTAGAACTATGAATTAAATTGAGATTTGAAGAAAAGTACTGTAGGAAAAAGGTTGTTATAAATAAAACACGTACCCATACTGACTATTAATTTTAATAAACCAAAATACGAAAAACACATATTACAAAAATCAGATTAATAAAAATATCAATATGAAAAATACCTACACATCAAAAGGCACAAAATTTTAGACAAAGGAATATGCCCTAGGTCCTAAAAAATACAAGGTAAGCACAAACTGCTTGTATTCATTGGAATGTGTTCTAGCTAGAGGCTTTTTGTTTTTAAATTCCGCTTGAGATTTAACTAATCTGCAAATGGTTGGTTTAAAAATTGTGGCCCAACCGAAGGATATTTTTGGGACTGGCACATGCATTATCAAAATAGAAACAACAATATCTCTTCAATCTTCAAAGTTAGTTATTCTTTTGCTGGGACCTAAAAAAAAATATTTAAATTTAAAAAATACATAAAAACAACACTTTTATATTATTTTTAATACCTGGTGTACTGAGAAAATCGTCGTGGGATTTAGTAGGGTACAGATTCATTCAGAATGATCAATTATTTCATTTGTTGTGGGTGTGTGTCAGAATATTGTCAAACATACATTTTCAAATAAACATTTCCGAGTTGATCCAAATGAAAAACTACTGGGCTGGAAATGTTTTTTACACAACTGGTAGCTTTTGTGTAATTATTCACTGGTTATATTAATCAAGTCTTCTAGACTACAGGCTCTTAACAACATGGGAAACCTAAAAAAATACAAAATACATTGTCATAGGTAGATAAATATAATTTGATTTAAAAATGATAATAAAATAATTGTTTTGATTAAATAGCCAAATAAATAACATACAGTTAACATTGCTGCATTTGAAAAGTACCTCGTTTTACTCATTTTACTCGAAGCCGTTCTCGATGGGTTCTGCTCCATGGTCATTTAAATTGCATAATTTATTTTGCATACCTTTCTGAAACTTTGGGAAATGAAAAATAACTAGTATACGAATCCGTTCGAGGTAGACATGGGCGATAAACACATCTCTTTCTTTTAGATTCCATCAGTTCACTAAAAAATTATTTTGCTTTAATAAAATAAATAAAAATATGTAAATAGCTCAGAACATACCACAAAAAGTCTTCCATTAAAAACATGTTTACTGAACAATGTTCATAAAATAGGAAAGCACTAAACACAGATTTACTCAATAATTGTTAAAAAATATACAAAGGAAAACACTAAAATACACTTAAATTCGATAAAAAAAAAATCACAAATTATAAATGACTGATCCTGACACATCAAAACAACACTCGTGACATGACAGTTTTGCCGGTTATAAAATGGCGGCCCTGATCATGCGCAACAAATTTTGGACCCCAAAAATTGACGTGCCTTCGCTTCTGTAAAAGTATTCTGTGGTACAACAGCAACATAACCTAATTTATTATCAAAGCCAGATTTACACCATCTCTTAATATTTAAATTTAGTATTATCTTTATATATTTTTAACAAAATTTAATAAACTGTCCATCCATTTAAACTTTTTCTGTTTTAGCATTTTAGGCCTTCGCCGAAAATTTGTCATATCAAACATGGCCACCCTGCCATTTTTGATGCCTACAGGGGGAATCCCATGGAAATTTATAACTAAAAACTACGAGAGCTTGGAAAGTTCCTTAACCAATATCGATAAAAAAGATTTTTCGTATTTACATAACAGAATCACAAACAATAAGGATAAACTTGAAGACTATTTTAGAATGTTTATAACTAAATCTCGTCCATTTTTAATACCATTTGAACGAGAACAAGCGTCCAAGGAAGAAATAATAAGATATAGTAGGTTAGTAGTTATTTTTGTAACTAATAATTTTCATTAAGTTCTTGTCTAGAAACAAACCAAATTATGTTTGCTTTGAGACATACCGAAAGGTATCAGTAATGGCTCAAAGAAGTTAAAACTCAGAATTCGTATGATACCGATACTCAATTTACTGGTATATCCAATACACAGCTCAATACCATACGTCCAAATTGTCTTTATTATGGCTCTATTATAGCTCTATTATGGCTCTATTATGGCTCTATTATGGCTCTATTATGGCTCTATTATGGCTCTATTACGGTTTTATTATAGCTTTATTCCCGTTTTATTTTTGCTTTATTATGGTTTTATTATGGATTTATTATGACTTCATTATGGATTTATTATGGCATTTTTATGGCCTTTTTATGGCTTTATGGCTTTATTATAAATTTATTATTGCTTTATTATGGCTTTATTCTGGTTTTATTTTGGCTTTATTATGGATTTATTATGGCTCCATCATGGCTTTAGTATGGCTTTATTATGACTTTATTATGGCTTTATTATGGCTTTATTACGGATTTATTATGGATTTATTATGGATTTATTATGGATTTATTATGGATTTATTATGGATTTATTATAGCTTTATTATAACTTTATTATGGCTTTATTATGTTTTTATTATGTCTTTATTATAGCATATGGCTTTATTATGTTTTTATTATGTCTTTATTATTAAAACTGGCAGCAATGGTTGGAACACCCCTAAAATTGCAAAAAACACCCCTAAGTAGGGGTGGATTTCGACTGTTGTTATTGTTTTGCAAACTAAGCCATCTTATATGTTTTTTGGGGCGATGATTACAAAAATCGGGATTTAAACCTACAGCAATGGTTGAACCACCCTTAAAATTGTAAAAAACACCCCTAAGTTTTTCGACGGTACTTGTTGTTTTGCAAACTAACTCATCTCATATGCCCTTTGGGACGCTGATTTCAAAAATCAGGGTGTCGAGACTGGAAAATTTGTGTGACACCCACCACATGCCAGAAACACCCCTCCCAAGGGGTAAATTTTCGGAAAAAATTACCACTCACGGTGTTTCGCGACCTAAGTCATCTTATATGTTTTTTGGGTCGCAGTCCAGCACATTTTTTCCGAAAATTCACCCCTTGGGAGCGGTGTTTCTGGCATGTGGGGTGTGTCACACAAATTTTCCAGTCTCGACACCCCGATTTTCGAAATCAGCGCCCCAAAAAACATATGAGATAAGTTAGTTTGCAAAACAAGTACAGTCGAGAAACACCCCTATCTAGGGGTGTTTTTTTTTTCAATTTTCGGGGTGGTTCAACCATTGCTGCAAGTTTTAACCTCCATTTTCGTAATCAGTGACCCAAAAAAACATATAAGATGGCTTAGTTTGCAAAACAACAAGTACAGTCGAAAAACACCCCTATTTAGGGGTGTTTTTGGCAATTTTAGGGATGTTCCAACCATTTCTGCCAGTTTTAACCCTCATTTTCGTAATCATCGCCTCAAAATACGTAGGGGACTAGTGGTCTCGTCAAGTGCGGAGTTTTTCGACCTTTTACCGTTATATACGGGGTTATGATGGACATTGGGGTCTATTCTGTAACAATTCCTTTATATTTAACGGCCTTTAAAAATATTTTCTTCTTTACTTCTGTCATTATTTAAACGGATCTTTAAAATACATTAGAGGACTATCTTAAAGAAATTTGTTTAAATAATGACAGAAGTAAATTAACGAATACAAACATATTTTTAAAGGTCACCAATATTTTTAAAGGCCGTTAAATATAAAGGAATTGTTACAGAATAGACCCCAAATAATGTTATTTTTAACAGACACGTTATTTGTGAACATATTAATATTTCTGTGTGTTTATAAAATAACAGACCTAATAAAAATAACACAAGTTGTCAATCATAACCCCCTTTAAATGGACTATAGTTGCAAATAGTCAAATTGACTTGTCAGTTCTCTTTTCTTTATTACTTCGCCTCCCAACTTTGCATTTCGAATAACAACTGCATCATTATGGACTATGTATAGAACTAATAATCAAGTAATTTACAATTGAAGCTCGTGTCTAACTAATGAATACAATGACAAGCTATTTGTTTTGAAATTTGTCTTGCTCAAATATTTATATTTTTAATTTTTTTCTCAAGGATCTGTTTTGAGCCCTGTTTTATTTAATATGTACACAACTGATTTATATAATATTCAAATAAATAATACATTATCATTTAATATTGTACAATATGCCGACGATTTCTGTATTTACACTGAACACAAAAAAATTGAAACCGCCTTAGAAAACCTAAAAAATATTTATTTAGTTTTACAAAGATGGTTGACCACAAATGGCTTTGAATTATCAGTTAACAAATCTATGATATGTATTTTTACAAGACACAATTCACCTAATATGAATAACATCATGTTTGGACCCGACGATTTCATGATTCAAAATGAAGCGAGGTACTTGGGTATGATTCTGGACAGGAAGCTGACGTGGAAATCCCATATTGATAATACGCTGAATAAGTGCAATAAAGGAGTAAATTTTTTAAAATCGGTTAGTAAGACTTGGTGGGGTGCTGATATTGAAATTGCTTAATTATTTTATAGAGCTTATATTCGCTCTATCCTGGATTACGGATGTACATTATATGGTTCTGCTAGTAATAATCTATTAAACAAAATCAATATTTTTCAAAACTCTGCTCTAAGGACAGTTTTAGGTGCCATGAAGTCTACTCCTATTCAACCCTTACACGTGGAAGCTCTGGAACCTCCTTTGGAAATAAGAAGAAATTATCTCAGTGAAAAAATGTTAATTAAAGTCTATACCAATAATCCTAAATTATTTCATCAGATTATCATATTAAATAGTTATGATTTGACTAATAAATATTGGGTTAAAAAAAAATCCCCACCCCTTTGTCTCGCTTTACAAAACAATAGCAATATTGTAAGTGCTCTGTATAAAACAACCCACCACCCTGAAATTAATGATTTTTTTAGCTTTTATTCAGACATTTCCTTTATTAAACCAAACTATGAAGAAAATATATCTATAAGTAGCAATATATTACTCTCTATTTTAAATAATTTTGAAGATGCCTTAATATTATATACGGACGCGTCCAAATCAGCTAATGGCGTAGGCTCTGCTTTCTTTGAACCTAAAGAGCACATAGAAAAATCTTTTAAAATTAGACAAGAATGTTCCATCTATACTGCGGAAGCTGCAGCTATCTACGAAGCACTTATTTACGCCTCTTCCTGCAACAGAGAAACGATAGTTATTGTATCAGATTCCCTCTCTGTTTTAACATCTATTAAAAAAAATGGGCTTCCTAATACATCGAGTTGCCCTTTTGTAATAAAAATTAAGAAACTTATCCAAACATTTTCAGAAAGAGACCAGAACGTGCATTTTATTTGGATTAAAGCTCACATTGGGCTGAAGCAAAACGAACATGTAGATTTGTTGGCCAAAAAAGGCTCTGTAACAGGTTCTAATACGTCATATAAGTTATCTGTTTCTGATGTCACTGCAATATTAAAAAGAAATCAATTCAATAAATGGCAACACTTGTGGCAGGAATATTGTTTTACAAACCCAACGAGGTATACGACTCTTCAGTTAAACATTCCTAAGATCCCTTGGTACAAGCATTATAAAATACCGCGAAAGTACATATCGACAATGATTAGGATGAGATTTGGTCATGCCTGTTATCCTAGCCATTTATACAAAATTAAAGTCTCTGAAAGTGACCAATGCGAGACGTGTAATGAAAAAGGAGATCTGGACCATATCTTCTTTAATTGTACTAAAAACAAAAAATTCTCTGACAAGCTATATAACGACCTGCTTAAATGCAAAATATGCTCCCCTTGGAATATCCAAAGTTTATTGTCCTCTAATTACACAAACATTTATGACTGCTTGATTAATTTTTTAATGGAATCAGGTATACGCTTGTGATTAGCAATTCTCTTAGACTCGTTACCTTTGTTTTTTTTTCCTATTGTTTTATTTTACCTCCTTACCGTGACCTAGTGTAGTCTGTTTTTTTTGTAATGCCTTGATGGGTCCCTAGGCGAGAAGCGAGTGTCCCCGTTTAATCCTCTTGTTATTTGAAATGAAATATTTAATGATTTACCTCTTTCATTTTGTGACTGGCTGTATGACAAAAGAGTCTATGCCAAAAAAAAAAAATTTTTTTCTTTTCTTTATTATTTATCATTGTAAATTACATCCGTTTTAACTAGTTGTATTATTATGTAATAATAAAAAAATAATAGTATATTATTTAACGAGCGGTTATGACCATTACCGCAAGTTGAATACTATACTTTATCTACGACTATAACAATAAACACTAAGATACAAGTATCGAGAAAGAATTATATAATTGACTAGATGATAAAAACGTTTGAATCTTTGTAAAAGCTATTACCTTTGTCTCCAGATATTTCTCATCAAGAGCTTCATTTATGAAATTGTTAAGTTGTACTGACGTAAATGTTTTTGCCTTTTTAGCTATATGTTTTTCTGATTGACGTTTATGAAACGCACGTAATTTTGAATAATTCTCTATATTAATTCCATTATTTATGTTGAGTGTGCTTCTTAGCAAGGAGTGGAAAGTCCATAGAGACGATGCTTTATATTTATTTCTAAAAAGTTCATTAAAATATGCCAAAGGTACATTTTCTGTAAACGAGCTACACCAATCTTGAAAATTTTAGTATATACCTTTATACTTGTTTTTTGATTTTTCTGGTAATAAATTCTGTATTGCATTATTAGCTATATCTCTTATTCCTGGAGGTGTACATAATAACTCATCTTCACTATCTAAATTCATTTTTTTTTTTAGAACTAATATTAGAAATTGATTTGAAAACGTCAAAATTATCTTGTTAAAATATCAAATGATATTAGTCCTCTCAATGTAATAATTGACTGTTTCGCCTACTGTTGA